CCTGTACCTCCCGCCAATCCAACAGGTGATGGGCACAATGATGAGCAACACAATGATGCTGAGATTGATGATGATGATGATGATTTTCTCGGTCCTTTCTAGTTAAAATTGCCAAAATCGAGGGTAAGCTTGCTTCACAATCTTTTATGACATAAGTGCAGTTTCACCTGATATGTTCCTGCCTTATAATTACTTTTTGTGCACAACTTTCTTACAACAAGGTTCTTTGCTTGCGAAAAACTGAAAATTTAGAGATCCCAGGATCGCATGCTTGTTAAAAAAAATCATGATATTTGAACATTGTAGAAATACATGCCTTAATTGACTTTGAGTCCTCTCTTCCTGGGAATTGGTGTTGGTAATTCACCTCTCTAAGTCATTAAACTGTTGCAATGCTGTTTTGACAAGGATCTAATTTTTCCTAGGTGACAGGAATACGGTTTACAAGGGTGAAAAAAGTACAGTGGATGTCAAAGTTGACTCATATTCATATGTAAGAACATTGATGTTCGTCCTGAAACGTTTTTTTGTTAACCCTCTTACTTGTTTTTTTATACCTAGTTCCACATTCATGCATAAACACTTCGTTTATATTCTGGACTGATTGAATATCTTTATTTATGTATCTACATTTCATCAGGTGTCGACAAAAGTGACTGCTTTTGGTGTCCTGCCGAGTACCACAGCTGCCCAATCTTGTGTCTGGTTTGTCGATTTTTCGTTTTTTAAGCAGAATCTATGGTTGTCCCGCCTCCTATGAATGTTTTGAATGTATTATAAGATTGGATATCAAATATCATCATGTCAGACTTTGCAACTTTGCATATATCATTATTTTTTTGCGGACTAGCATCTTTCCTTCAGTTACATTTTTCAATTATATGGCATTGTGTCTGGTTTGTTCGTTTTCTGTTTCTGAAGCGGAATCTATGATTTTCTCGTGTCCTTTGATTGTTTTGAATGTATTACATGATGTTTATTAATGCGTAGCTATTGATATGGACAAGTTTTGATGGCCGAAATGGTGTAAAATTTGCGACGAATATTTAGAGATGAATTTTGCGACCATTACAAGTCGTGGCTAATTTGCGACGAATAAGTAGCGATGAATCAAGTTTGTGCCTAATTTGCGACGAATACATTTTGCGACGAATTTTGCGATAAATTTTGCGACGAATAAAGTTCGTGGCTAATTTTGCGACGGATTTTGCGACGAATTTTGTGACGAATAAAGTTCGTGGCTAATTTGCGTCGAATTTTGCGACGAATTTTGCAACGAATTTTGCGACGAATAAAGTTCGTGGCTAATTTGCGATGAATTTTGCGACGGATAGTATTCGTGGCTAATTTGCGACGGATAGTATTCGTGGCTAATTTGCGACGAATTTTTTTCCGTCGTAAATTTGCGATGGAAATTTAAATTTTCCATCGCAAAATTTTGCGACGACCTATTAGCGACGGAATTTTTTCCGTCGCTAAATTCGTCGCAAATTCGATTTGCGACGGATTTTTCCAAATTTTTCGTCGCAAAATTCGTCGCAAAAATCATGTTTTTTTGTAGTGTAAGGGAGTTCGAAATTCTCCTATAAGCATTCGTCTTCTTTTGAAACGCTTAAAAGTTCGTGTCAAAATCGTTTTATGAACATAGATATCTAGAATAATCCATGGATATATTTCACACGGCGAGATGAATCCTTTGGCATGTATGGAGTAAATAGCAAACATGGTATCCGTACATTCACAAAATCATCCAAATCACTTGAGTGAATTGGTTTTTAGACAAATGGTGAAGATATAACATGGTTTCTTCAATAATTATCTTGTTAATTAGATGTGTCTCCTGAATATCACTTTGATGAAAAGAACCAATAATACAACAGTTCAAGAGACAAGAGTATTATGATTGGCAAAAATATACATGTAAAAAAAAAAGACATGTAGTGAAATATGGATAATAGAAGATTGAGGCCATGTGCCTTCGATTATACAATGACTTAGAAGTTGGAAGCAAGAGATAGAGGGAGGGAGAGGGAGAGGGACCATTTCATTTGTTCGACACAACAAACAACTTGTGACTGATGGAGTCTCTCCACCAGCACAACATGTGGAAGCACCAAGGACAGCGTGTGATAAATGAGACAACTAAAGTGGATTATAGCCGAGTTTCCTCTTAGGAGAGATTAGGAAAATAAACTAAATTAGAGATTATCATTTGGCAATAAAAGAGCAAATGTGTACTTCAAGAACCTTACTTTCTAAGAGTATTCAACTTTATGACATGCTCTATATTAAATCGAAAAGCTCAATCGTGATGAGACGATCGAATGTGTTATTTAATCACGTGAAAGGCAGAATTACAACAAAGTTAGACCTAATCATTTCATTTCGTGTCATTGTCTTCTTATAAAGTCATTTGTCATCTCTCTAGCCTTTTCTCTTTCCTCCTTTTTTGCTCTTTAATTTAATGAGCAAGATTCTCTTAATTTCTTGCCTTCCCTTTTCCTCGAGCAACCTACCCTTTACTTCCTCAAGAGCTTCCCTTACAATTCAAGTGTATGGATTGGTAGGATGCTTTCTTTTTTATGCCTAGTTTGTCCTTTAGCATTGTGCTTAATGGGCAAAACTTTCTTGGGGGGCCTTTTTGGCCGGCCATTGTCACTACTAAAAACTTCACAAGAAAACAATGAAAAGGGATCAATTTCCCCTCACTTTTCTCAACAAATTGTCTTAAGATCTTTTCCCATTTAGTTACTCACTGTTCGAAAACGGTGAACTCTATCTCAAGGCATCTCCAGGTAAGGTGCTTCACATGTTTGGAGTGGAAGGATGTGTCATCTCTAAGGCTAAAGGATAATGAAAAGATACCCTTTTCCTCTTTTTCACCTAATTGAAGTGGTGTCCGTATTAAGGGATGGTCCATCAAGGGACCTTTTCTTCTCTCTCTCTCCTCTAGGGCATTAATGTCTTAATTCCATTAGCTTGTCTCTTTCTTTCTCTCACTAGCTGAGTTTAGCGACAGCAGGACACGTCCCTTTTGGAGTAAAACTTCATGTGCGCTTTTAGTAAAGGGGTCTTAGGCCTTTCCATTCCATTTCCTCAACTTTAGAAAGAATAAAGAAAAGCAACATAATGAAGTGAGACATTTAGTGAAAATCTCTCTTCACCGTGAACCCTACGCAAAAAGCCGCACTTTCTCTAAGATGATGCATGGCTAGGTTAGAAATCCATGCCCTACTTTAATCACAAAAAGAGCCTCTTTAGTCTTCAAGTCTAATGCTGTCTTGCACTAAAGTACATTCCCCTTTTGCTTTCCCATGAAACTCTTAAATAAGAGTAATAACCGGAGCGATAAAACCCAAAAAGAAAAGTCGAAGTCCCTTGGAGTTTTCCCCGGGGTTATTAAAAAGTTAATTGTCCTCACATCATGCAAATAATATAATAATATTATACCCTATGTCCTTTAATAGTCCATTTTCAACCCATACCTTTGTCAAACTCTACGGTAAGCAACCCCTCATCCTAACCTAAATATATATAATGAACTTCTTGTATAACTCCACATGCATTGATCCTATACAAATTACTTGCATGACTTGGAAAACCAGCTCTACAATAAGGAACACGCGAGAAAGAAGCGAAAGATATATACGAGTTAGGTTTGCTAATCTGCTAATTAAGGATAAGTTTTGTGAAGGACTCAACAAGCAATCGACTATTCGGTTTCATTTCCTAAAGTTTGTTTTGAAATAAGGTTGTCGCCATTGAGCTAACGGAGCATAGTGGAGTATAGTGCCTAGTGAAAGTTACATGTAACTAACATTTTCCTAGGTAAACTGCCTAATATATATAAATTATATACATAGCATTAACCTAATGCTTTCACTATTCTTGAATCTCACTATTTAAAGACTTTATGTAATCATGTGTGACATAAGTGAAAGCTGCCGACCTGCACTGCTGCACCATGATCTTTTTTATTCCACACTTAGAGAGTTGACCGATGCAACCAAAATTTTCCACCATGATTTTTGAATGAGAAATAGAATAAATCTTCCCTCTTTTTTCCCGTCTTCCAACCGAAAGATTAAGGGAAACTACCAAAAACATGCCTGAATTCTCACAAATGACAAAAAGCATACATATATTTTCAAACCATATGCATCGACTTGAGGTCGCGATGCCACGGTTAACCTCAGATCAAGGCCTCAAGGGCGATGGAGCTCCTGTAGCTGTGATACAGAGACGGAATCAAGGAGGGCAATCGAGAACGACGGACTCCTAGGGTCCAGTGGCTTGGCAACGGCGTGGAGGGGGCCGAATTACCAGTCAGAGACATTGGCAGTGGCCGGCGGCTAAGCAAGTTTAGATCTTGTGCCGTGTCGATTACGTTTTGGATGCGGGCAGGTTTTGGAAGATAGAAAGTGTTTTTTTGAAAAGTGAAATGGTAATCTTGTAAATAAATGTATAATTTTGCTGAGTTGGAGTATGTAACCTGTAGTTTTAAAAATAGATCTATGCTTTTTGGTCATTAGATAAAAAGCCAAGCATGTTTTTAGTATTTTCACTAAGATTAATCAATATAACATTACTATTACCTCTAAGATTATCAACTCAACAATCCTTGCATTTTTTGCTTATAATGCTCAGTGACTATCAGCTGTACCAACCACATTACTCTAATTCTCATCTAAACACTTCAGATCACGAAATGTGATGCACCCCCTACATATCTTGAATTTGCACATCTCAGGCATCGGATACAACATCATTACTAAATCTCAATACTCGATTAATTAAAAGGGGAAATACTAGAGACTACTATGTTGACGACACTTAATTAAGCATTCTTAAAATAGATTCGGTCCGATTGGACAAGTACCCATTTGTGCTTTGAAAATCATCAGCTAATCTTACCCGGTTAGCTAATCGGTACTTCAAGATAATCGATAGGATAATCTTTTAATTAAAAATATCATCACCACTGTAATGTGAAATATAAATTTCTCTCACTCTCTCTCTCTCTCCCCTATGAATTCATGACTCAACGACCTCCATCCCCTGCATCTGCTCCAACTTCCAACTGACCAAGTCTGCCAGAGCCACGGTCTTTACCATCTGCTCCCACAAACGGCCCTCACCATCCACTCTCGACCCTTCACGATCCCACACTCCCAAGAGGGCCAGTCATGTGAATTCACACACACCATAAGCTCCAATCTTCTTCCAACAGATGATAGCCAAATTCTCTCTTAGCCAGTCTCTTTCTCTCTCCCCCATGATGAGATAGAGTCTCTCTCTCTCTTGGATACCTCTCGAGTCACGGCTTCAAGAAACCCAGTTGCTTGGTTTCTGCCCTGAACACAGAGACCCAGAAAGCCAAAAATGGTCCTTTTGCTCCGAGGCCACTGAATTCTTGCAAAAATGGTGGAAGAAGAGACGACCCACGAGGTGAAACCAAGAGGGAGCAGCCTCAAACGCGCCGTCGAGCGCTTGTCCTTGCTGATTTCTCTGTCCCACTCCGTCAAAGTCTTCTCCGTGAAATGGCAGCTCATAAGGAACAAGCTAGAGGAGTTGAATTCCGGGTTGGTCTCGATCGAAGACGCCGGCTCCGCGCGGAACCCGGCGGTCTCGGGCCTGGTACGCGCGCTGATGGTCACGCTGAGCGAAAGCGGCGATCTTGCCAAGAGGTGTGTCGATCTTTCGTACAGTGGGAAGCTCCTGATGCAGAGTGATTTGGACATAGTCTTGGCCAAGTTCGATCGGTATGTGAAGAATCTTTCGGAGATATATTCGACAGGTATTTTGACTCCTGTGAACGCCATTGTTGTGTCTAGGCCTGGTCTTGGTGCTTGTAAGGATGATATGAGGTTTTACGTTAGGGATTTGTTGACAAGAATGAAAATTGGTGACACTGCGATGAAGAAGCAGGCTTTGGTCAGTTTGTATGAAGTGATGAATGAGGATGACAAGTATGTGAGGATAGCTGTGGAGGTTGGTGGCATTGTGAATGCGTTGGTGGGTTTTCTTGATTTCTCGGAGGTGGCAGAGATTCAAGAAGAGGCTGTGAAGGCGGTTTCGGCAATGGCCAGGTTCGATTGGTGTAAGGGGGTGTTGGTTGGTGCAGGGATAATTTGGCCGCTGATTAGGGTTTTGGAATGCGGGAGTGAAAAGGGCAAGGAAGGGTCTGCAAGGTGTTTGATGAAATTTACGGAAAATGCGGATAACGCGTGGTCTGTGTCCGCTCATGGCGGAGTCACTGCTTTGCTCAAAGTATGTGCTAATGGCAATTCGAAAGCAGAGTTGATTTGTCTTGCTTGTGGGGTGTTGAGAAATCTTGTCCCTGTCGAGGAAATTAAGAGGTTCATGGTTGAAGAAGGTGCGGTGTCAACGTTCATCAAGCTTTCCCAATTGAAGGTTGACAATGTGCAGATAAGTTCGATCGAGTTCCTTCAGGGCATAGCGTCCGAAGATGATTCGATCAGCCAAATGGTCATAAGAGAAGGAGGAATTCGTGTGCTAGTACGCATTTTGGATCCTACATTGCCGATATCATCCAAAACTAGAGAGGTATCTCTTCAAGCCATCGAGAAGTTATGCTTCTCCTTGCCAAGTTGTATCAACATGTTGGTGAGTTATGGATTCATTGAGCTTTTGCTTAATTTCCTTCGCAACGGCGAGGCTTCAGTCCAAGAATTAGCTCTGAAAGTGGCAGCCAAGTTATGTGCCACTTCGGAGGAGGCAACAAGGGCACTGGGGGATGCAGGGTTCTTGCCCGAGTTTGTTAGGTTTCTCGATGCAAAATCATTTGAAGTTCGCGAGACGGCGGCAGAAGCGCTCTCAGCGATGGTTCTAGTCCCGAAAAACCGGAAGAGGTTCGTGCAGGAGGACCGCAACATTGGATTACTGATGCGTCTCCTCGAGCCAGAGGAGGTAAATTCTGGTTACAAGAAGTTCTTGTTTTCCACATTGATGGCGTTAACGAGTTGCCACAGCACAAGGAAAAAGATTGTGAATTCCGGGCATCTGAAAACCTTGGAAAAGCTCGCGGAAGCCGAAGTTTCAGACGCCAAACGGCTTGTCCGGAAGCTATCCACTAACCGATTCAGAAGTATGTTGAGTGGAATATGGCATTCTTAAAAAGCAACCTTCTATTTTTTAAATCAAATTCACTGTACATGTACATCTAAAGTGTTTCCCAGGAAGGTCTTCTTTAACTTGTTTTGCAACAATGTCTCTTCCTCCTTGGTTTCTGCCCTTTTCCCTTTTTGCAGAAAGAGATTTTAGAACAGCTTTTTTTTGTTGGTTTAGATTGTAATCAATCAAATAGTACATGTCCTGTAATAAAGCTGCTATAGTGAATGTTGCTTCCGAGATACTAACCTGGCATTGCGTTGTTGGATTCAATTCCGATTTGTCCTTTTCTTTCCTCCTCTTTTGAGCAAATAAGAACAAGAATGTATTAAATAGTGGCACGGCAATTAATTAAAGATAACTGTGAAGGAGGTTCAGAGCACATGTTTTGTAGGCATGTAGAACAGAGCACATGGGAAAGGCATGAATCTCTGTCATAGGCATGTGAAGAGTAGGCATCAAGGTTTTGTCTTTCTACCATATGATGAACCAAGAAGGACGGTAACTCGTGAAGGTTCCTCTTGTACAAGGCTTGTCTTTTGCGCCTATGTCTCCTTGCCTGCAATGATGGTGTTATCATTTTGGAAGTTGTTATTTACATGTAAATTTGTATATTTATATTCCTGGATTTTTAGAGAGGCCCGTGTCTCAACCATCCATTTCAACATCGAGACTATCCATGCCGGGATGGTACTATTCGGAAAGCAAAAGAAGGAAGCCTGAAAAGGGAGACCAATAGCTGTTTCGGTTGTCTTCTATGTAGTTGCGCAACCTTCTAACTTCTTGTTGCGTTGTAAGGACACAAGATTTCCCACCATTAAAGATGGGATTTCGAGAGATAATGGAAACTGAACGTGAATGCAGTGGTCCTAACGCTGGTAGGGTTATGTGGACACGACGAGGGAACAGCCAACTCACAGATAGTAGTGTGGACCATGAATACTTCCATTCTTGACAGGTCGGGGGTGCAATACGGAGATGGGATGAAACCCTTCACATCGAGACTTGATGCCTTCTATGATTAATGATCGAGATTGGACGTTTTGCCAGGTAATTTCACCGATCACAAGATTCGACCAAATTGTGCCTCTTATTGATGCTAGGAAGTCATGCCAGCATTATAGGATCAACTGAACTCTTCATGGCTGTGCCTCCTATGCACTGGACTGTGTTGAACATCTGGTGCACTGTTCCTGGCACCAGATGCTATCCAGAAAATCAAAGTTCTTGCAAAGGAGAGATACCATTAAATCTGCATCATGGGTCGATACAGTTGTGAAGCGTTTCGCCCCAGAACTGCATTCATAAATAAGGTGGGTCTATGTGTTACTGCTGGCGTTTTGTCCATTCATGATGTGAGGAAGCTTTATTTATGGATATTATTGTCATCTCATCTTCTGTTTGTCCATTTATTGGCCAACACTATTATTCTCTCTCTTCAGTTTCACATGTTCTTGCATGCTTTCAGCTTTTTGATCCTTTCAGGCCCTTAATACTAGACTCGCCCAAAGTCTTTTTTTGTCCCATCGAATCATTTTTTGTCAGATATTTAGCTAAGCACCAACTCTCACTGCCATTATCTGTCAAGAACAAAGGATAATGCAGAACAAACACCACATGGATTTTGACAGCATTCAATTGAGAGCACCACAGCTAATCTCATCCGTTCACGACGTCTGTAAGGTTAGTGGGCCACTGTTTAGATTACTAAATTAACCTTCAAGTGAAAATAAGGGAGCGATACGATCTGAAAAGTTATTTCACGAAATTTTGATGGACAAATTGGATGGACAAAAGTCGTCGTGAATGCTTTTAATTAAAAAGCAAAGGGTTGGATCCACATAACCTAATTAATTAAGCAGTTGAATGTGCTTTACGCTAATAAATTAGTCTAACATTTAGAAATAGCTCTTATGTAGCATGGTGTGAATTTCTTTGATCTATTTGATGGATATTAGGATGATGACAATGGATTTGGACCAGCAAGCAGAAATTGCATGAGTCAAAGGATGGCCTTTCATTTCGATCTTTTTGGGGCCATTCGTTTCAAATTTTCCATCTTGATCGCATCAAATTTGGGCCCATGTGTTTCTGCTTTGATAATTCACAAATGGGGCCTTTTGAATATAGTTGATTCCCACGATTATATGGGCCTTTAACCCCCAATCTTCACCTACATTTCATCCTCAAATTACACTTTTTAATACAAGTTTTGGGGTTTAATTGCAATTCTAGAAAAAATTTTACAACTTGATTGAATCAATTGAAAGGTTTAAGACGTGATTGCACTTTCCGGTAAAATTGTAGGATTTGACTGAACTAATTGAAAAGTTTTAGGATTAAATTACATTTTGTACAATAGGTTTAAAGCCTATGGAGAGTTTCCCAGATGTTTCTACTGACATTAGCTTTGATCCTGTCTCAAAGAGGCATGTCAAAGGAGCTAGTCGGACTTGCGTGGATCCCCAACGCAGTTTCGAACTTCTTGGCCTTTTGTTTTGTTTTACAAAAGTTGCCAAGTTCAACACGATGAGTGAGCTCTTTTAGCCTTTGTCTGACCGTTAGTTCATAGATGAATTGCGTAACTATAGCTCATAACAATGATTTTATGGTGACATCTAGAAAGGATAGTTTGGGTAATCCCATTTCTCCTACCTCTTTCAGAGCATAAAAAGAAGGGTGAAAGAGGAGCATAAGGAATCAAATTCCAAATATCCACTCTGTTATGATATTGAAATTGAGAATACTGCCTCTGAAAGTTTAAGTTACGTGAAAACGGTACGAAGTATATCTCTTTTTGATTAGGACGAACATGATAAAGAGAAAGCATTTTGAGAAGATAAAAAATATGTAAATATTATGAAATGCCAAAACCATGCTCACGAACCATAAGAGTAAAAAGAAAGTGAGATAGCACTTGAAGATACGAAATTTAATATGAGATTAGCTCGACATTTCTTCTCGGGAAAGGAATCCCAATTCCCTCCATTAATTTGAATACATAACTAATAATTTTATTACTTTAACCTTGACATAAACATGACAAGATTCACTAGAAGTCAAAGTCACATCAATTGAACCGCTTGTTCCCCTAGAAATGACTTCAGTCTTTGGAGTCTTACTAAGATTGATTTTACCTGCAACGTGGTGACTTCAAGTTGAAAAGTGGTTTATCTTAAGGTTAATATCACAAAAAATTTAAAATTGATATATTTATAATAAATTTAGTTTGGATTAATTTTTTGATCACAAAAAATTTGAAATTGATACACCTATGATAAATTCATCCAAAATTAATTTTTTGACCATAAAAAATTTCAAATTGGTAAGTTGTGACAAATTTACAATCCGTTAAATTAGATTAATATTACGAAAATCACAAATTGATAAACTTGTGTCAAACAGAAGGGTATAATCCCAAAATGGTATACCCGCTAACTGTCACGTGTCACTAAACTCAGTAATTTGACTGTAAAATTTAACGGAAACTAACGGATGATAAATTTATCACAAATATACCAGTTTGAGATTTTTGGTTGTCAAAAAATTAATTTGGGATAAATTATCATTGGTGTATCAGTTTGAGGTTTTTCGTGATATTAACCGTCCATCTTAATTGGTGCACTATGATGTAAATCATCATCACCATAGTCTTTTACGCCAATTAATTAACACCATCTATTTCTTTTTCTCTTTTTTTGTTCATTATTCTTCTTATGCTCTTTCTCTCCAATAAAAAAATAAATGAATGAAGACAGGTTGTGATTGGGGGAGAAGATGGTTGAGCATTATGACTTGTTCCATCAGAAGCACCAGACAATCGGGAGTGGGAATTGCATTAATTTAGGGAACCAATTTCAGGGTTTTTTTTTTTCCTGAAGCACGTGGATGGAAACTTCATTGGATTTTGATGTATCGGGAGAAGTGATATATTTTCACTTTATAATGGGCCCTTTGCTTCTGATCCTTTTTCCTTCTATTTTTCCCTTCAAATCATGAAAAATTGGTCTTCAAAAAGAAAAAAACAGAAAAACATAACTTGATGTACTTTGGCAACACTTTTCCCGTTAGAAGCCCAGATTTAATTTATTTCATTTTGTTCTCAACTTATGATTTTCCTAGTCCATGAAATTAGTAGTTTTTGTCACTATGCCACTACCGCTATCTATTTCAGAGTATCTTTTGTTCTCAAAATTGTCGAGCCATTTATATGGTCCCAATCAAGAATCGAGAATGTTTATTTTAATTTGGAGTTTTAGATGTGTACAAATTCACCACGATGCCCGATGCAGTACGCATGACAAATCTAATATTATTTTTCGGTGCACAAATTAAATACTAGCGTAATCAATGACCAACTGAATCACGACGAAACAATGGAAATTCGAATGCTTATGATAATTAGGTCGAGTCATCGACCGTTGTTCTTTACCCTAAAACAAGAGAATGGTTACCAATTTGAAGTGCAAATCAACAATCATTATTCGTCGAATACATCGTTATCACCAATAGGTTCCCCAACAACGAGGATGCAACATTATCAACATTAGGGTTTTCAAGGTTCACTGTGTGTCTTCATGTGGATATGTGTGAATATAGAATCGAGAATCAAGAATAAAATAAAGAGAGGCCAGGCCAAGAAGATGAAGGAACGTAAGATTGCGAGACCGATGCGATGTGGCGAACGATATCTTTTCGTAGGGTTTGGAATAACACATAGTTTAATCTTATATACTTTTTAGTTCTTATCTTCGGAAAATGATAGACCTTAGCATTTAAATTTATCTAATTTTTTATAATCTCGAGAAAGTTAGTGGGACATTATCTTATAAGAACGAGGAAGTTGAAAACTTTGTCCGAGGATCGCTACCGACCGCATAATGACATCTTAAAAGAGTGAGGGTGTCGGGGGAGTGAATTTTGAGAAGACGGACAACCCATCTAATGAGTCTACATTTAAGTCGCTTCGACGAGTCACGCCAATAAGATATCACCGCATTAATTTAAGTACATGCCTTTTAAAAATTGTGGCACTTAAATAATCGTTTGAAAAATTTTGACATCAAATAATGGAATAATGCAACCGTCAAGATAGTAGAGACGATGAAACGGTCAAGGTAGTGGAGTACCCGTTCACTAACCATTTTTAACATCTGTTTATAACCTCCATTTGTAACAGTCAATTGTAAGCTTCAAATAGTCACATCGTACTCTTTATAGACCCCCCGGCACAAACAAACAATTGTTGTTGTCTTTCAATTATATTTCAATTC